TCCCTTCCATTTGTTTGCTTGGCTGCTCATTGCCGGACTCCACCAGCCGGCCAGCCTGGGGCCTGTCATCCCATTCATGTCACCACAAGGGATCTGGCCAAGCCTGCTTCCTCTGCCCCCTGCCCGGAATCTGCGGGGCTCTGAGTGGATTTCGGAGGCTGCTGGGGCCCCCCTCCACAGCTTCCACCCAGGCTCATCTTCACTAATTAACAGTACGAGTCATGCATACTTGGCAACTAATCGTAAACATAGTTTGGCGATGCTGTGAGGTCTCCCCTCCCCTCCCCTCCCCTGGAGGATCTATCATATAGGCCTCATGATAGCGGCTTCAAAATAGTTTTGACATTTCATTTTGCAAATAAAACCGGGATGCCAGATGAAGCCACACAGGCAGCTCGCCCGAGTCTCATGTCTGCTCCAGGCAAGGCTCGGCCTGCCTTCCCTTCCCCGCCGCTCCTCCTCGCTCCCTTTCCCCCATCCATCTCAATGAGAAGATGTGTGTGTGTGTGTGTGTTGTTTCTTATCTATGGTTATCTGAGAAAAGTGCTTCAGCTGCAGATGGAAAGCAGAAAGGGTTGGGTGCTCTCAACTGCCCCCCTCCCACCTCCTCCCCAGGAATCACCAGGGTGACTCTGCTCCGAGGAGCCCTCCTGGCCTTGCGCCCCTGAGGCTGCCTGGCAGGTGACATTCTAAGGCTACTGGACAGGAAGAACACCTGCAGGACTCCAGGGCACCTTGGAATGGCAATCAGTCCTGCTGTGTGTCATTCAGTTATTTTTTGACTTAAAGCCACCCAGGCCAGGGTTTCCTTGGCATAAAGGGCTCAGAAGTCTTTTATTGATTCTTCTTTTCTGGGGTGCTCTGAGAGTGTGCACCTTGCCCCTCTTTCCTCCCAGAGACTCTGTGGGGTACTGAACCCCCAACCTCTGGCTCTGCAGCCAGATATCCAACTCACTGAGCTATCCAACCAGCCAATGACCTCCTTGAAGCATGCAATTGCTGTCAGTGTCGACTGAGAAAATGCAGGCATGGCGAGGCCAAGGAGCTGCTCTTCCTCTTGGGCTCGTGTGATGTGAGAGCGTGAGTAGAGGCGTCCACTGGGCTGAGTCTTGCAAAGACACCCCATGTCCAGTGCCAAGCCACATGGGACCAGGAGTTCTGACCCACCCACCCCTTGCCCTCCTTCTTCCTTTTTTTTCCCTTCAAAGGAGGTGGCCAGGTGGAGGGGGGGTACTCGGTAGCGGTCCTTCCTAACTGACCATGGTCTTCATCCTCCGTGCCCTCAGAGTTTTGGCAGCAAATAACTTTGGAGGCTATTTCCGAAGCAGGCCGAGTCGTAGTTTGGTCCAGTAGCCAAGCTTCTGTGATGAAGAGGAGGAAGGAGCCGGGGGGGGGGGAAAGCCGTGAGGGTGCTCTCTTGGTGCTTCTGGGCCTTGATCTCCTCCCTGGCATGTGCTCCTACTTCCAGATGGCTACACACAGGAGGAAATCGTCTACCGCTGGAGGAGATACTCCATTGAAGTCTCAGACCAGCGCACCTGGAGACTTTATCAGTTTGACTTCACGGGGCTGAGAAACACCTCCGAGGTGCTCAGGACTGGCGCTGGTAAGGCATCCTTCCAGAGGATGTGGGTGGGTCGTGAAAGAAGGAGCAGGCCATGCAGCAGGCTGGTGGTCTCTCAGAGGGGCGGAGGGTCTGGCAGAGGCAGGGGTGCTGCTTACCCCCTATGCTAGCCCCCCCCCAGGTGGGCAATTCCTCTCCTTTCAGGAGCCGCCACCCCACCCTCCTCCTCCTGCTCTGCTTCTCTTGGTGCTTCTCCAGGGCACCCTCTGGGTCTCACTGTGGAGGGAGGAGCTTGCATCCCTTTGGTGACCTTGTGCTTCCTGTGTCTCCAGGGTGCCTTCGGGACACCTCAGAAGGCCGGTTCTCATGTCAGTCCACCCAAAGTCCTTGATGTGGTTTTGGGTGGGGACCTCACTCCCACAGAGGTGGTGTCCTCACTAAGGGGCCCTGCCACTCAGCTCTGGATTAGCGGGCTACCGATAGCGCCTGCTTTTTCACCTGGGATGCTCCCAGTAGTGTAAAGGGGCAGAAAGGAGAGAGGTCCTTCTTTTGAATGTCCCTCTGGGCCTGCCTTCCAAGTCTGGCAGTTCCAGGGCTGGGGAGGGGTAGGAGAGATGGCTTCTTTCCTGGAGAATGTACAAAGGTCACTTGCATGGAGATACCATAATGCAGTAACTGGCGGAAAGGATACACCAGCAATGCACCGGCATCCCTTTTCAGCAGCCCCAGACAGAGTCCTTGCCCCTGCGCCCATCAAAGCAGTTCTGCTGCCCCCCTTCTGGCCACCTTCTGTTGCTGGCATGCCTGTGGAGAGGGTTGGGTCACCTAGGGCTGAGAAGACGGGGCATGGCGCTGGACAGCTGGTGGTGCTGGTGGTGGTGGTGGTGGGCTCTGCTCAGGCCTTTGTGCCGCCTCCTCCCAGAGGGCAGGGCTGGCTGTCTCTACACAGCCCTTGAGCCCCTCTCAGTGACCTGCTTCCTGGAAGTTGGGAAATGAAGGAGTTGAGGGGCCGGGGGAGGAAAAGGAGCTGGCCCAAGGCTGTGGCAAGTGGGCCAAGTGCCCAGCTGCCTTTGAGAAGCCCCCTTGCAGAAGCACCGCCTGTGTCCCTCATGAGACCCTCGGGGTGACTGCGAACATCAGCCTGTGCGGCTGAACCTCTCGGCCTCTGCAACCTGCCTGTGGGAGCAGACTGAGGCGTGAGGGACCAGCTGCGCCTCTGACCAGCCACCCTCTCTCTGCCCTTTTGCAGGAGAATACATGGTCATGACGGTGTCCTTTGACCTGAGCAGGAGAATGGGCTACTTTGCCATCCAGACCTACATCCCCTGCATCCTCACGGTGGTTCTCTCCTGGGTCTCCTTCTGGATCAAGAGGGACTCAACGCCTGCCAGGACATCTCTGGGTAAGAGGGAGCCTGGCTGTCCTTCCCCCTTCCCCAGCAATGGACCCCCAGCCCCTGAGAGATGCACTTAAGCAAGGCTCCCTCCTGTTGTGCTGGTGGAAGGGAGAAAGCCCTGGCAGAGCAGCCCATGGGGATCGAACGGCCAGTGGAAAATGCCCATGGCTGAGGGCAGCTCTTGGGCTGTGGTGGAACCAGTGGCTTCAGGTGGCCTTCCCACCTTGACAGCAGCATTGCACCTAGATCAGCAGCACTGTCCCACATGGTCTCTCTGCCACCACCCCCACCACCACCACCAGCAGCAGCCCTAGCCCACTCAGCAGTCAGCTTCTGGCAACAGGATCTCTGGACCTTCTTTTCACCCCTCAGAAATCAGCTGGCTGCTTCTCCAAGGGTGAAGGCCCAAGTGCTTGCTGAAAGGTGGGGTCCCCTTCTTGGCTGACCCCGGCCACTGCTGCCGGAGCACAGGTCAGCTTCCTGTGTGAATCCCACAAGAGCCTCTGCAAACCCCCTCTTGGCTTTTAAAGCAAGAAAGCTGCTCATCCCATAAGAGCATGTGTGGTGCTCAGGAAGTTCTTCCACATTCACAAGCTGCTCTGCGTGGCCCCTCCTGCCAGCTGTCCCCCTTTCGGTGGCTTCACTCCAGGCCTGTGCTGAGGGGTCCAGACACCCAGCAGGAGCAGAGGAACAGCCTCTGAAGCCCAGTTGGCCAAACCTATTCCCCTCTCCCCCCCCTCACTCCCATCCAGGCATCACCACCGTGCTCACCATGACCACCCTGAGCACAATCTCTCGGAAGCATCTGCCAAGGGTCTCCTACATCACAGCGATGGACCTGTTTGTCTCTGTGTGCTTCATCTTTGTCTTTGCGGCCCTCATGGAGTACGCCACCCTCAACTACCTGGTTGGGAACAAGAAGCCAGAAGAACACAGCCACCGGAAGACCAGGCTGGTGAGCAGGAGCTTCGCGGGGGTGGGGTGGGCGGGCGTGTGGGTGGGCTCCCCTTGGAGTTTCAGGAGCAAAGACCCCGGGTCCACCTTGGAGGTCAAACCAGGGAAGAGAGTGGGAAAGGAAAGGAGGCCGCTGTCCCACAGGCTCCATGTGGTCCTGTCGGGGCGTTGGGTCCAGAATCAGTGTCGACCTGGTGTCAGGGTGCAGCTGGGATTGGTGGGGGAGCCCCTGGGAGGAGGGGCATGGCATTTCCAGCTGCCCCCCCACCCCACCTCTGGGAATCCTCTTGACCCTCCCTTGCTTTGGGAGAAAGAGGTAGAGGGAAGGTCCTCTCGCAAGTCTGGCTTCTCAGAGATGGACCGATGTATTGTTTCTAGTGCTTAGTTTGGCCCTTAATGTGTGCACCCGCAGAACTGTTATCGGGGAG